AATAATAGTGATAAATAAATAATAGTGATAAATAAATAAATAATGATAAATAAATAAATAATAGTGATAAATAAATAAATAATGATAAATAAATAAATAATAGTGATAAATAAAAAAATTAAAAATAAATAAATAAATAATAGTGATAAATAAATAATAGTGATAAATAAAAAAATAAAAAATAAATAAATAAATAATAGTGATATATAAATAAATAAATAAATAAATAAATACATAATAGTAATAAATAAATAAATAAATAATAGTGATAAATAAATAAATAAATAAATAAATAAATAAATAAATAAATAAATAAATAAATAAATAAATAAATAATAGTGATATCTAAATAATAGTGATAAATAAATAATAGTGATAAATAAATAAATGAATAAATAATAGTATTAAATAATAGTGGAATAAAGATAAATAAATAAATAAATAAATAAATAAATAAATAAATAAATAATCGAATCAATAAATCAATAAATGAATGAATGGATAAATAAATAGTGCAAGATAAAAAAAAAACATACATACTAGTGATAAATAAATAAATGAATAAATAAATAAATAAATAAATAAATAAATAAATAAATAAATAAATAAATAAATAAATAAATAATGTATAATAATGGGGTGATGGATAAATAAAACAATAAATAATAGTGGTCATGTACATAATCTATTTTTTGTCCATATAATGCCAGGTTTTTGTGTATGTTCAAGAAATTAAACATTTAATCAGGTTCAGTTGCTGCAGTTATTATTATTATTTATTAGAATTGTTTTTTTTATTTGTGAAGCACTTTCGTCCGTGATAATCCCCCCACCGCCCTGGTTCTCGCTGTCGTATGTGCAATCAAAACCCCTTCTCTTGTTTTCACTTTCAGTTTGAGGGCGGCATGATCATCTTTTTCACGCACGGCCTTCACACCTGGCAAGACTGGTCTCCACAAGAACACAAGTCTGTTCTTTGGATGCGTCCGAAACCGCATACTTCAATACTCTATAGTACACTAAAATCAGTCTGCGAACCGAGTAGTATGTCCGAATTCATAGAATTCGAAACTCCGTACGCGAGAAGTACCCAGATGACTTACTACTTCCGGCGAGATTCTGGAGTGCGCATCCGATGCACGCAGTGCTATCCCATAATGCCCCGCTAGAGAATTCATGAATAGAAGTAAAGCAACGCAACTGACGCAGGTAGGTCACGTGACCATGACAAAATAGCGGATGTAGTACGTCCTATTTCCATTCATAGTTTTCACATTTATACTGTATAGAACGTACTTTTCTAACGGCCGAGCAGTACGTTTAAAGTCAAATGCAGTACCTACTGAGTAGTAGGCTCTTACGGACGCAGCCTTTGTGTTCTGTGAAACAGCCTTTGTCAGTGATCGTCATCTTCGCGTCATGATCAGTCCCATGATCCCCCGCGCCACTGCTAGTGTGTGGAGGGAAAGCGCATGCACATTTTAACGGAACTGTAAGTACATATTTGAAGATGTATCGTATCTACGTCGATGTGATCCAACAAAAATCCGAACCCACCTCGATTCGTTTATTCAAATATTTCGTTAAAGAATCAATAGTTTTAAACATGCTGCACTTTTAGATTTAACCCTTTTAAAAATCCAAACCGTCCCATTCACACGGGGCTTCAGCGTCAACGCTTGACTGAAGGCGTGTCTGAAGTTGGGGCTAACGCGATCATCATAGCAGCGTCAGCCAATGAAATTCAGTCAGCAATGGGCCACTGTCTAGCTGGTGTATTTGCATACAGCGATCTGATTGGCTGACAGTGGTGTAGCAGACAGGCCCACATCGTCGCGATTTTCAATAATCGAAAATCCGGCAACTAATCAAACTCTTGGGAACAACGATTTCAACTCTCCTCGACGCCCACACAGGAGAAGATGCGCCGCGGTGTTCCTCGCCGCCGGTTCGCGTTAAAAATGAATGACTTCTGGCTACTTTGACGCTCTCGCCGATTTCGGTTTGTGATCGGTCCTCAGTTTTTGAAGGCTTTCCCCGCGTCGTCGCTCCACCACGCCCCCTTTCCCGCTCCTCAGTTTGTGATCGCTCCTCAGTTTGTGGAAGGCTTCCCCGTGTTGTCGCTCCACCCCGCCTCCTTTCCCCGCTCCTCAATTTGTGATCGCTTCCCCGCGTTGAAATCCCCCCCAACTGGGGGCCCCGTCAGTGATCCCTGCAGAGGGACCTCCACATTTTGCGCTATACCACTGTTGGCTGACGCTTCTGTCGGCAATTGAAAAGTTGAGCTAGTCCCAACTTCTGAAGCGAGCAACGCCTCTGAAGCGGCGCCGACGGATCCACAATGCAGTTCGGCAATGCTTGACGTCACCCATTCAAATTGAATGGGAAGCGTTGACGCTGACGCCCCGTGTGATATGGGCTCTTTAAGTAAATCTGCATTTGGATCTGTGCCTCCGGTCGTCATTACAGTATGTGACAAATACATTTGAATGTGGTTTACCTCTTTGGTGCTGTTATCCTGCACCAGGCTGTAGAGCGGCACGACGCGGCTGACCTCCAGCAGGACCGGTGTGGGGCTGGACGTCTCTCGGGCTGCCTGTCTGCAGAGGTGACATGCGGCCGGGCAGCTGCCCTTCTCCTGGCAGCGGATCTCCACTCCGGCCACCAGATCATCTGACAGGAGCTGGGTCTTCAGGAGACTGGACAGGTAACTGATGAACGGCACGGCCTTCAGGTCCCGCCGGCCGCCCTGCTCTGTCACTTCTGAGAGACACAGACACACACACACACACACACATATATATTAGACCTCCTGCTACACTGGAGTTAGTTTACACCGTTCCCCAACTTCTTTCTATCTTTTTAATTTGACAAAAATGTGTGTGTCTGTGTGTGTGCGCGCGATTGTTTTATTGTGTGTGGGGGGGAGGATGTCTGTATGTGTGTGTGTGTGCGCTTGTTTTATTGTGTGTGTGGGGGGAAGATGTCTTTATGTGTGTGTGTGTGTGTGTGTGTGTGTGTGTGTGTGTGTGTGTGTGTGTGTCTGTGTGTCTCTGTGTTTGTCTGCCTCTGTGTTTGCGTGTGTGTCTGTATGTATTTATGTGTGTGTGTGTGTGTGTGTGTGTGTGTGTGTGTACGTGTGTGTGTCAGTGTTTCTGTGTGTGTGTATCCGTGTGTGTGTGCGTGTCTGTGTTTCTGTCTGTGTATCTGTGTGTGTGTGTGTGTCTGTATGTGTTTATGTGTGTGTTTGTCTGTTTTTATGTGTGCGCGTGTGTCTGTGTTTGTCTGTGTGTGCGTGTGTATTTGTCTGTTGGTGTGTGTGTTTCTGTATGTATTTATGCGTGTGTGTCTGTGTTTATGAGTGTGCGCGCGTGTCTGTGTTTCTGTGTGTGTGTGTGTGTGTGTATGTCTTTATGTGTGTGCGTGTGTGTCTGTGTGTGTGTGTGTGTGTGTGTGTGTGCATGTTTGTCTGTATGTCGTTATGTGTTTGTTTGTAAAC